CGTCACCGCGCACTGCGCGCTACCTCACCCGCGCGCCGGGCCCGGCCGGGACAGCACCGGGCCTGCCGCGCGCCTCTGGCACTGCCCCCTCCCTCCCGCGCCCCTTGCGCCGCTCTGGCGGGGCAGTCGCTAGCTTCGTCCCTGGTCATCCCGGGCAGGTGTGGAAGTTTTTGCGCCTGGGTGTATCGTGATTCCAGACGCATTGGGAGATGGCCTTGGCTTAGGCCAACACATAAGAATGGCATTGCTGGCTCAGACCAAAGGTCCATCTAGCCCTATGCTGAAAACACAGGGGCCCTATGCTGAAAACTGGTCCTTGTGATAGGGATCCCCGTGTTAAGAGACAGCCCCTGCCCTGAGCAGCTGAATCACCTCTTTAATAATAGCTCCTTACCAAACACCAGTTAAAAAACATAAAATTTCCAAATATAGTTGCCCCCCCTCCCCAGCCTATCTATTATAGAGAGATATGTCGGCGCTTTAGCCGTCCACAGAGGAGTGAAATGTAGTGAATTTCACTTTGTCGCTCCCATGCTGAAACCCTGGATAGCGAACATGGCAAGGAAAAGCTTCCATCCAAATTACTATAGCATAGTGTATGTTCAAAACATTTCCATGTGCACTTGATTTTAGATAAATGAGGAAGGCACAATTTATAGATTGGGTCTAAACAGTACCTAATGTGTGTGCAGACCCTTGTAAAGACAAGACATGACGGAAATCAAGTTACAGCTCGTTACTGTCTCAGATGAGGCCCTGTGTCTAACTGCAGGCAGGGCAGCCTTCTTCCTGCTGCTGAGCTCCTTTTCCCAATGGTGTCAGTGGCACTGCTCTAGGAAAACAACCAGCCCCGCTTTTCTTTCTAATTCCGCCGCGCCACGCCCGTAAAACCCCGCAGGGGAGTCCGAAGGGTGAGACGCCCTAAAGAGCATCCACTCCAGGCAACCCCAAAGCAAGAGGCAGTTTGTTTGACGGGCAAAGACCCTGCTTGGGTAGTTGGCTCTGCCCAGCAAGGTTCAGAAAGCCAGCGACGCACGTCCAGCACACATCTAGCTGGCTTGTGGCAAGCTAGGAAAGCTTCCGCCATTCGCTGAGGCTGCTGCTGCCGCCCAAAGCTACAGGTCCCCCATTCCCTACTGGCGAGAGAGAGACCCGCTGGAGATGGCTGGTATACCTTTATCATCACCCTGCAGCCAGAAGACCGTAACTGCAGCCGAGGCCAGTGCTGCGAGCACACACGTGGTGACAGTGCCCCTTCCCCAAATCATCCCGGGAAGGGGGCGGGGAACGGCCTCGCTCGGGCCCCGCACGCACCGCTCTGCACTCTCCTCTTACCTAGCCACCAAGCGGGGCTCACACCGCCTCCTGCCAAACACGCAGGCAAGCGCCTGACACAACTCATCCGCGCTGCTTCCGGGTCCACGCCGCAGCACGGGAGGCGCAGGCTGCCCCCACAGGCCCCGAGCTCACGCCTTCCTCTGGAGCACACCCACCAGCGGCAGCCAATCCCGGCTCCAGCCGAGCGCCTCTTAGACTCGCCAGAGCTGAAAAGCCCGCCCCGCTCTAGTGCGTACAGGGTGCACTTAGGTTCGACAGGAGGGTGTTGTGACCTGCTGATCGAAGGCAACAAATATGCATCAGCCTCCAACTCTCCCACCCCCTGCTGCATAGACTCGGGAAAGGATGAAGGTTTTTCCCCACCAGTATTTAAAGTGGAGAGCAAACGATATTATACTTTGGCTAAAAGAGAGATGGTAACCCCCAGCTGTATTTCACAGATGAAAACCAGGTAACAAAACAAAATTGAAAACTAGCCGAGGTGAGCCAGTGAAGTTGGATTTTGCTCATAAGAAATCCGAGGCACTAAGGCTCAGGACAGTTTTAATTTCTGTCTTGGATTCACGCACAGTACTACCAAGAATACTTTTGATATCAACTCATATAAACACCTTGCTCACTCTCTTGCTCTGTATTTGTTCTCCTCTAATTTCCTTTCTTCAGCTCCTTTGCATGCTTCTCATCCTTCATCCTGCTCTTTTTTAATTCCTCATCTGTGACAGGACCCCACCATCTCATCCTAACTCTGGCTGCTACTGCTGCCTGCACCTTCATCAGACTTTTTACTTTCCTCCCTTTATCTACCTCTTTCAACCTTCCTGGAATCTTCTTGCTCCAGTGACACATGCTGCTCACTGTTTAACTAGGTGTTCACCTGGGTCCTTCCCCTTCCTTGATAAATTGTTGTGAAGTTCTTGCTATACAAGGCATTGTAAGGGGAGCGGGGACAGCAAATGATGAGGCACAATGTGCATTACCATATCTCTCCAGATACATTCTCTGACAAATTGGTATTTTCTGTGTATTTATATTAATACTATATGCAGAGTTCAAACATTCATATGGAGCAAAGGAGTGCAAGAAATAAAAATCCAATTATACCATGCTTACAGAATCAACAAATATTTTGCACTAATACAATAATAGACAATAGGTGTTTGCCTAGCTAAGTTGTGGGAGTTGGTCTTCATCGTGCCACCTTAATGGCAGACTACACTAATAGTGTAGGTAAAATACAAAATAAGGGACCAATCCTTCAGGTGCTCTTAGGATTCACTACTATTAAAGTTAATAGGATTACTCATGGAGGTAAACAGGTGTAGCAAATGGCAGTTTTGTAAGGAAATTCTTCAAGTGAAGGAAGAGCAGCTACATGACCCTTGGGGTGCATTTAAGAACATAACATAAGAATGGCCATACTGGGTCAGACCAAAGGTCCATCCAGCCCAGTACCCTGTCTGCCAACAGTGGCCAATGCCAGGTGTCCCAGAGGGAGTGAACTGAACAGGTAATGATCAAGCAATCTCTCTCCTGCCATCCATCTCCACCCTCTGACAAACAGAAGCTAGGGATACCATTCCTTACCCATATTGGCTAATAGCCATTAATGGACTTAACCTCTATGGGTATGTCTACACTTGCACCCTAGTTCGAACTAGGGATGCAAATGTAGGCGACTGAAATTGCAAATGAAGCGGGGATTTAAATATCCCACACTTCATTAGCATAATCTCGCCCATGCGCTATTCCGATCGCCAGCTGATTCAAACCAGGAAGTGCACTCCGGGCCGCGTTAGTTCGAATCAAACCCCTTGGTTCAAACTAATGTTACTCCAAAGTAACATTAGTTACTCCCTGGACCCCCCACCCCATCCTCCCAGGGCATGGACTAGGCCTCAGGGCCTGCAGTTTGCTATGGACTAGGCCTCAGGGTCTGCAGATGGAAAGGCTTGACCCCCAGGCCAATGGGGCAGAGTGGGGGCACCCAACGACACTGGCTAATAGCCATTTATGGACTTAACCTCCATGAATTTATCTAGTTCTCTTTTAAACCCTGTCATAGTCCTAGCCTTCACAACCACCTCAGGCAAGGAGTTCCACAGATTGACTATGCGCTGTGTGAAGAAGAACTTCCTTTTATTTGCTTTAAACCTTCTGCCCATTAGTTTCATTTGGTGACTGCTAGTTCCTATATTATGGGAACAAGTAAACAACTTTTCCTTATTCACTTTCTCCACACCACTCATAATTTTATATACCTCTATCATATCCCCCCTTAGTCTCCTCTTTTCCAAGCTGAAAAGTCCCAGTCTCTTTAATCCCTCCTCATATGGGACTCGTTCCAAACCCCTAATCATTTTAGTTCCCCTTCTCTGAACCTTTTCTAATGGCAGTACATCTTTTTTGAGATGAGACCACATCTGTACGCAGTATTCAAGATGTGGTCATACCATGGATTTATATAAGGGCAATAAGATACGCTCCGTCTTATTCTCTATCCCTTTTTTAATGATTCCTAACATCCTCTTTGCTTTTTTGACTGCCGCTGCACACTGTGTAGACGTCTTCAGAAAACTATCC